AAGGTGGAAGGGGGTTACCCCCAGGCCCTTGTAGCAAACCAGGACTCACCCCCCCCCCGGCCCCCCGTTAGCCACTGTGGTGAATGAAAGTGCCCTCTGAGAGTAATCAGTTTGACTTAACGTAGTGACATTGGTCGCAAAGCGCCAGTGCTCAGAACAAAGACACAATTACATACACGCCTGTACACACAGCGACAACATTCATACGCAACCTGAACCGAGATTAAACACAGCCTGGACACACATCTCAAGCAGTGTGGTGGGTATGTGATGTTAGTAAGCACCTATTAAGGCCAACGTGGCACCACTACGTGCTGGTATGTGACCAGAACCAACCCTGGCTTCTCTCTGTCCTCTGTGTTGAAGTTTACACACTGGACCAGGTACTTATTTAGAGCTAGGGATTACCTAGGGGAGACAGACACAGATAAAGCCTTTCCACATTTCTCACACATATCCTGTACAAAGCCTGTACACAAAGCTCACGAAATATAGCCGATACAATGCTGTTGGGGCAAGTGCTGTTAGAGTAGCACTTATTATGGCCGACACAGCACACTAGGGGGTAGGTGGCCAGCACCACGCCCGGCCGCCTTTGTCTCCCAAGTGGTGATGTTAACACACCGCACCAGGTGCTCATTTGAGGCTGAGTCTACCTGCAAGAGGCCCATGAATGGTTCAAATAATCGTCACTGGGTGTTGGTGGTGGCCTTGAGAAGGAATTGAAGTCGAGTCGCCAGGTTCCTAGCGTGCACCACCACTCCCTACAAAGCTCACGCACAAAGTCACATCACAGCCTGAACACAGCTCACACACACACAACCTGATCATATAGCTCACACACACACTTTACATATAGCTCACACACACACAGCTCACATACACACACAGCCTGTACACACAGCTCACACACACACAGCCTGTACACACACACAGCTCACACACACACACAGCTCACACACACACAGCCTGTACACACACACACACACACAGCTCACACACACACACAGCTCACACACACACAGCTCACACACACACAGCTAACATACACACACACAGCTCACACACACACAGCTCACACACACACAGCTCACACACACACACAGCTCTCACACACACACACAACTAACATACACACACACAGCTCACACACACAGCTCACACACGCACACACAGCTCACACACACAGCTCACACACAGCTCACACACACAGCTCTCACACAGCTCACACACTCACACACAGCTCACACACAGCTCACACACTCACACACAGCTCACACACAGCTCACACACACACTCACACACAGCTCACACACTCACACACAGCTCACACACAGCTCACACACACACTCACACACAGCTCACACACTCACACACAGCTCACACACACACAGCCTGTACACACACACAGCTCACACACACACAGCTCACACACACACAGCTCACACACACACAGCTAACATACACACACACAGCTCACACACACAAAGCTCACACACACACAGCTCACACACACACACAGCTCTCACACACACACACAGCTAACATACACACACACAGCTCACACACACAGCTCACACACTCACACACAGCTCACACACACAGCTCACACACACACAGCTCTCACACAGCTCACACACTCACACACAGCTCACACACAGCTCACACACTCACACACAGCTCACACACAGCTCACACACACAGCTCACACACACACTCACACACAGCTCACACACCTCACACACAGCTCACACACAGCTCACACACACACTCACACACAGCTCACACACTCACACACAGCTCACACACACACAGCCTGTACACACACACAGCTCACACACACACAGCTCACACACACACAGCTCACACACACACAGCTAACATACACACACACAGCTCACACACACAAAGCTCACACACACACACAGCTCACACACACACACACACAGCTCTCACACACACACACAGCTAACATACACACACACAGCTCACACACACAGCTCACACACTCACACACAGCTCACACACACAGCTCACACACACACAGCTCTCACACAGCTCACACACTCACACACAGCTCACACACAGCTCACACACTCACACACAGCTCACACACAGCTCACACACACACTCACACACAGCTCACACACTCACACACAGCTCACACACAGCTCACACACACACTCACACACAGCTCACACACTCACACACAGCTCACACACACAGCTCACACACACACAGCTCACACACACAGCTCACACACACAGCTCACACACACACAGCTCACACACACACACAGCTCACACACAGCTCCACACACAGCTCACACACACAAACTCACACACACACAGCTCACACACACAGCTCACACACACAGCTCACACACAGCTCACACACACACACAGCTCACACACACACAGCTCACACACACACAGCTCACACACACAGCTCACACACACACAGCTCACACACACACAGCTCACACACACACAGCTCACACACACAGCTCACACACACACACAGCTCACACACACAGCTCACACACACACACAGTTCACACACACACGTCACACACACAGCTCTCACACACACACACAGCTCACACACACAGCTCACACACACACAGCTCACACACACACAGCTCTCACACAGCTCACACACACACACAGCTCACACACACACACACAGCTCACACACACACACAGCTCACACACACACAGCTCTCACACAGCTCACACACACACACAGCTCACACACACACACAGCTCACACACACACACAGCTCACACACCCACACAGCTCACACACACAGCTCACACACACAGCTCTCACACACAGCTCACACACACACACAGCTCACACACACACTTTACATATAGCCCACACACACACAGCTACATACACACACACTTTACATATAGCCCATACACCCAGCTAACATACACACGCACAGCTCACACACACACACAGCTCACACACACACACACAGCTCACACAGCTCTCACACACACACACAGCTCACACACACGCACAGCCTGTACACACAGCTCACACACACACAGCTCACACACACACAGCTCACACACACACAGCTCACACACACACACACAGCTCACACACACACACAGCTTACACACAGCTCACACACAGCTATCACACACACAGCTCACACACAGCTCACGCACACAGCTCACACACACACAGCTTACACACACAGCCTGCACACACACAGCTCGCACACACAGCTCACACACACAGCTCACACACACACAGCTCACACACACAGCCTGTACACACACAGCTCACACACACACAGCTCACACACACATCTCACACACAGCTCACACACACAGCTCACACACACAGCCTGTACACACACACACACACAGCCTGTACACACACACAGCCTGTACACACACACACAGCCTGTACACACACACAGCCTGTACACACATACACAGCCTGCGCCACACTGCGGGTCGAGCGCACGTCTCACGCACGCGAGCGAGGTGGACACGCGCCCTGAATGAACAATTGCGGGCCCGGCTGCCTTGCGAGAGACGGCGAAACAATGCACGTGAGTGGGGCGAAGGGTTTGCTGCTGCTGCTGCTGTTCTGGTGAAACGCATTCGTTGTCAGCGGCGAGCACACACGCCACTGTCACCTGCGAATCATCGCCAGCGCAGCAGAGGCGATGCTTTATAATAGATCAATTGTAATGTGTGTGTGTGTTCGTGTTGGGTTTTTTTTAAGTGTACGTGGCTGGGAGCTGTCGTGGTTTACTCCGACTGCCCGGCGATCCGAGTTCGTTCCCCGACACCCGAGGCCAACACCACCGGTGACGGTCATCTGAACCGGTCCCGGGGGCCTCATCCCTTAGGTCGACTCAGCCTCAAATGAACACCCGGCAAACATCGCCACTGGGGAGGTGGGGGAGACAAAGGCGGCCGGGCGTGGTTGCTGGCCACCATCATTAAGGTGCTCGCAAACAGCACTTGCCCCAAACAGCATGTCAAAGCCTACACGGGGGATCTTTGTCTTTGTCTCAAGTGACCGAGATATACCAACAGCCTCGCTCGCGTACAGAGAGCCGTCCCCCTTGCACACCCCGGTAAGCGATGGAAAATGGTTAATAAATCCGCACGTGTGCGTGAATAACAAGAATAAAATTTCGACGTACAATTAATTCATTATATGTGTACAGTCGCATTGCATTTATCGCGAAGGCGATTCGATGCAAGTATCGTGTGGCGTTATATTGTCATGGATGCTGCATTGCTGCTGAGAACACCGCATTGGCATTTGCAATATGTTGTGCATTATAAGTGACCTGCAAAAAATAACGCGCACATCGTTTCAGCATCGGCATGTCACAGGCAAACATGTTGCACATCGCGTGCATTAATTACCACAATTTATTGTGGATGTGCACGATCATTTTCAGCCGGAATCATGTTTATCATCATAATTCCTGCCCCCTAATCACCATTATGCTTATATATATATAAAATTACATTAGTAATATTATTACACAAATGTTGCACAACCCCATCAATACATAACGTCGCTGGAACATTATATCAAATAATGACCCAGCATGTTGTTCCATTATGTATATTCCACGCATCTCCCTTCCACACGTCCATTTACCGTATTTGCATACAGGAATAACACAGCCAATGCAGACATTAGTCGTACACATTACCGTGTGTGTGCGCGTGTGTGTGGGAGGTGTGTGTGTAACCTATCTATTTATGCTGTATGGGTTTATTCTTCACGAACCGGCCTTACATCAGCTGCTGCGTGCTTGTGTGCGTGCTGTGTCTGTGCACACACGCGCATGTGCGTTTGCGTATACGCGGACAGCCTACAGCCTGCTGCTCGCATTGCCTTCCTCACCACCGACAGATTTAATGCATCCCCCCCCGCAACCCACCCACCCACCCTCCTCCTCTCTCGCTCTCTCTCTCTCTCGTCTCCTTTTCTCTTGCCGATGCAGAGAGGTGCTCAGCGGGCAGGAAGCAGCACAGAGCGCGCGCTCTACGCTTAGATGCGCGCTCTCTCTCCATCGCTCCCATTCTGGGACTGGAGCATTGGTCGTTGCATTGGCAGCCTCTCGCTCTCTCCGTCTATGTAGATATTTGCCGTATATGTGACAGTACTGGCAGTCAGTCGAGTCGCTCTGTGGATTTGCGTGTGTTTTCTTGTTGTTGATGTTTTATATCGGCGCACCTGTGTGTATGGCATCGCTATCTTAATGCGCGGTCGAGTATAGCGTGTTGCGAATGGGGGGGTGGGGTGGGGGGGATAACCGAGGATAAGAAAGCAGTTTTTATTTTCCTGTGTTATATATTACACAGAGGGGGGGGGGGGCAACAACCCATCTTAATTGTGAACCTTGTCGCAAGGTGTCGAATTTGGCGTGCGTACGAGCAAATAATGAGCTGCGATATTTTCACGAAGATGGGAATTTTCTGATTTAAAAAAAGAAATCTCATTCATTTTGCGTCTTTATATCTTGTTTTCCCTCTCCACCACCCACCCCCCCTATTGTGGCTCAGCAACAGACACAGAATAATATATATATAAAAAAAAAACCCAGAGAGACTGGATGTTGTTATCAGGGCTCTTACAGGGTCCCTGCCCTCTCGGCAGCGCTGAAACCTTCTCCACGCTGCCGCATGACGAGGAGGCTTTCCACTCGCGTCCCGTCTCCTCCGACCGCCGTCGTTCACCGAGAACATAGAGAGGGAAGGAGGACACGGCAGAGGCGAAGCAGGAGGCTGAAGAGAAGAGAGCTTCCGCTGGAGAGAGGACATCCGACCATCAATCTCCAGCGCCGCGCCTACCCGCGGGCCAGCCACTGACTGAATTTGCTCGGACAGCAGAAAAAAAAACAGGACCCACCACCATCATCATCACCATCAATTTAATTAAGAGCAGCAGCAGCAGCATCAGCAGTAAAGCGGCGTGGTGACGACGGCGAGATCTAGCGCTGGTAATAAATTTAATAATAATAAATTATAACGTGGCTCGACGCGTCTCCTCCTCGCTGCTCCGCAGCCTCCTCCGCCATCCAGACGCATGATCAGTTCAGTGTGCGTCTCGTCGTTCCGAGGACGCAAGTCCGGCAACAAGCCGCCGTCAAAGACATGCCTGAAGGGCGAGATGGCCAAGAGCGAGGAAGAGGAGCGGATAATCATCAACGTGGGCGGCATGCGCCATGAGACCTACAGGACCACGCTCAAGACCCTGCCGGGCACTCGCCTCTCGTGGCTCACGGAGCCCGACGCCTACAGCACCTTCGACTACGACCCCAAGTGCGACGAGTTCTTCTTCGACAGGCACCCCGGCGTCTTCGCGCACATCCTCAACTACTACCGCACGGGCAAGCTGCACTGCCCCGCCGACGTGTGCGGACCTTTCTTCGAGGAGGAGCTCGCCTACTGGGGCATCGATGAGACGGACGTGGAGGCGTGCTGCTGGATGACCTACAGGCAGCACCGCGACGCCGAGGAGGCCCTCGACAGCTTTGACAATGCCCCCGACGATGGCGGAGGTGGCGACGGGGACGAGGAGTCGGGCGGCTCGGGCAGCAAGCGGTTCGGCGTCGATGACCCCAGCGCGGCCGCCAAGTCGAATTGGTGGCGTCGCTGGCAGCCCAAACTGTGGAACCTTTTCGAAGATCCGTACTCGTCCAAGAACGCCAAGGTTAGTTGCTGCTGCTGCTGCTGCGTGTGTGTTTGTGCGCGTGTGCACATTTTCCGACGGAAGCTTGTCTACCTATTCTCAATCTCCACCTGACTTCTCCATCGCATCCCCATCCTCGAGCTGTTTTGTCAGCTTCTTGCTCAATACGCTCTGTCTCAAGCCTCTGTCAGCATCCACCTTCTCACGTGACCTGTCTTCACCTTCTTTCTCTCCAACATTTCGTCATGCTATCACCGTCATCTCTCTCTCTCTCTTCCTCATCATCTCAATCTACAAATCATCTCTCAACCCTCTCTATGCATTTTTCTCCCATGCATTCTCTATCCATACATTTATTTATCTCCATTCCATCATCTTCATATCTCCATACTCACCCTTTCTTTATCTTATTTCTCTCCAACTGCTCTCTTAATCGTCTATTTCAGTCCCCTTATCGTTTTTTCCTCATAACCTCTTCCGATCTTCCCTCCATTTCCCCCCAGCCTATCTCCACCACATCTTCATCCTGTCGCAATGATAGTTCTACATTCGTTATTGTCCTTCCATTCATCCTCTTGCTCCATATGCTGTATGTACATCTCCATACATTTTCTCTTCATTCTCTCAAACACCTGCCTTTAATATCCTCTCATCCCTTCACACCCTGCCTCTCCATCTTCTCTACTTAACCTGTTTCTTCCTTAGCCATTCCTGACCCTCCATCTCCCTCCATCATCTCTCTCCAATATCTCACTTTTGTATTCCCATTATCTTTCTTTCATCTCCTCAACTTCTGCCTGCTCTATATCCACCCTCTCTCATCCTATCCACCGCCTTCAATTGCGTACAGCCCATACTGCATATTAAATTAGATGTCGAACTGTCGTAAGGAAACACTCAGCACACGGATGACCCATATTTACGCACAGCGCGAGATATGCATTTGATCAATAACCCTTAGATCCAAGTGAGAGGCCATCAGGACAATCATTCTCTCCTGCAGAAGTGTCCAGGGATTCATTTGTATATAAAAAAAAAATGCTATTCTCTCTTCAGTTTAATGTCAACATTGTCGTTTAAATAATCAAGATTGACCCAGACTCATGGACAATATTACCAAGACAGAACACCTGTATCCTACAGTGAACATTATATACAATAGCTCATTGTCGTGCTGATTATTATGGATTTTGGCTGTATGAATATGCGACGTATATATAAGAACACACCATTATATATGGAGATGCATGTTGCGTGTTTTTTTTTTCCTCCACAAAATCTCTATGCGTGCGTATACACATATACACGCACACGCGTTCCAGCAACCACATACAACACACATAGAACGCCGCGTATCATTCCGCATGGGCGAACGCACACGCGCGTTCATCCCGAGGACGCTGCATGGGAACACACACGTGCGGTGCATTGCTAATGAGCGAACAACACCAGACAAGAGAGAGAGAAAAAAAAAATCACACAACGCAACCGGCCCTCATGGCAGAGCCACCACGGCAGACAAGACAAGAGACGGCGTGGCGGCACGGGGCCCCCACCCCCACCGTAACCCATTCGCTCCGCCGATGGAGCTGACGCACAAAATGCGGCGGAAGGCGACGCCACACGGAGTGATGTAACGTGCAAGCGGGTGGTCGCAGCGAGCTGGCGGGCGCGCGTCTTTGAGGACCAACGAGCGTGGGCCATCAGTCAACCTTGCAGAAAGCGCTGCGGCGCAGCGCGTTCACGCGAGCGAGCGCGTGCACGGGCCCCGCTCGCTCGGTGGCCAATTGCTTGATGGGTTCTGCAGGCAAAGCCATGCCCGTGCAATTTGAAACGCAACTGGTGCCGACTGGCATTTCTCTTTGGGACGTGACGACACGTCCTGCTGAATACGATATTGCATGTGCAGTTGCATCTGAATAGGAGGCTGAGCCATGCGCGTTGCGGACTGAGATGCCTTTGTCTTTATTTTTTGCTCCGATCGTTGTCTGCGTGTTCTGATTGTTATATGTTTGCAAGGAGGAATGAATGGTGGGTGCGAGGAATCAATTCCTCTGCATCGAGTGCTCTCTAAACCGGTTCATCGGTCTTCCTCTCGGTTGAAGCAGCGGCAAATGAGTACCTCGATGTACCGCATGAATGACGGCGCTGGGAAGACAAAGGTGGTCGGGCATGATGCTGATGCTGGCCACACAATCCCTTTGCGTGACGTGTCAGCCTTAATAGGTGCTCACTGACAGCACTTGCCTCAATACCTTTGGGGCAAGTGCTAAATATGAGATTCATGTATATGCCATATGTCATTGGCATATTGCACAAAATTCGACAATTTTTTATCTGTAAAAGCAAATATAAGCAGAACTATGGTCTATATTTCCTAATATAAATACAAATATCTATTAGTCAATCAGCCTCTTGGCTGCCAGACCAATATCATCAAGCTACGTGTCTTATTATGGATCTAAGTACATTTATAAAGCAAGGTATCTTAAAAATATGTGCCCAGGTAGTACTGTGATTAAAGATGATGGGCTCACAATCTGAGGGTGCCAAATAAAAATTCCATCCCTTCAGGGTCAGTAAATATTAGAGACATTTCGTGAAAAATCAACAGTGGGCACTCTACGGAGAGAGGGAGACTGATCTTCGCAATGGGAATGTGGAATTTCCAGCACTGGCTAAGGGCCACGGATGACGCTCGGCGCACTTCCATCATGTTTAAGCGACGAGACACGTTGACTTGTGATCCTGCAGTATATTATACTTGTACTGCATACTGCAGTACGTTGTAACACGTAGGCTTTCGCGACCAATATGATTCACAATGAAGGTTTTTGGGTGAGTTCGCGTAAGACTATTCTGGCAAATCGCCCAATGATGCTGGATGTAATTAACAACCGAAACGTCGTACTCAAATTGTAAATGCTGTGGATTTATTCTCCAAGTAGTAATGAATTGGCGTTTTGTTTACCTGACAAATCCCTTACTAATTTGCTGCGTCGGGTGGTGGAGGGTTACGACACATTTATACTCACGCGATGCAACCCAAAAACCTTTATTATGAATACTGCAGTACGTGTGTGTGTGCTCCATTCCATATGAACTCAGTGGCTTTGAAGAGCACAAATCAACCAATGGTGGCGTCTCACTTGCTGCCAGATGCAAGCAATCTCTTGACATTATTCAACAGTAGACGATGGTGTAAAGTGTCACGGCCAGGCATTCGATATGTGTCTGCAACTCACTGCACAATGCTAACTTCCCAAGAATATTCTCTCAATGCCTGCCGAGCTTAAACAAACCCCGTGCCACTTATGGGAGAGCAATACGGTAATTACACATTTCTAATGTGAATGCTGTAGCCCTGGGTACGAAACGAGTAAAGGTCAAAGCTTCTCCTGCCTCAAATGAGCGATGGGGCATGACTCTTGAACTATTGGTGGACATTCCATATTCTCATGGCAGGGGGCTATCGTCTGTACACAATCGCCATACTACCGTGTTGATTTACTGACCACCCACGTGTAAATGTATCATGGGAATCTGTGAGTGAAGGCGGGAAAAACAATTGTGCCGAAAACTTGAATGCAAATATTCACGGCGTTCCTGTGTTGGATAGATTACTCTTGTTCCATTGTCTTTCTCGATTGAGACACCCCGCCCTCTGCCCCGTTCATTTAGTCTAGGCAATAGTTTTGCCTGTAAAATAACATTACCCTGTACTTTAGTTAATTTCCCTTTTTATAATTAGACTCTGTGCTGTCAGGATCATATCTTGAGATGAAAGAAAAGTCATTGGTTTATCTCACAGTGCATCACATTGGCAGCAGAGAATATTCAACTCTGTAGTTAAGAGCGTGCCATACATTTTTGAGTTGACCATAAGAATCTAGAAGTGGGCCCCCTCCCCTAAAAATGCCACGTTCCCGACCGTTACCCCAACGTGAGTAAAGGGACAGTGAGCCCAATCGCCCTTCCTTCGCCTTACCCAGTGGGCACCTGGCCTCGGGATTGTTGTCCACAGAATACCTTTACCACTTCCCCCTATCGCTCGTGCTTTGTAATGGGCTCGTTAAAAATTTAAAATAGAATAATAACTCGGCGCTATTAAGCCCCCCCCCACCCCGACACTCATATCAAGTTGTCATTTCGTGGGCCAAAGCCACAGATAAAACCCAAACTCAGTCCTGCCACCACTGGGTTTAATATAGCCCTGGAAAAATGATGCCACAAGACTATGTCTTAGTATCTTCAATAACGTCATCCACACGAGGCGATGCTTTATTTTAAGCTCGTGGAAAGAGTCTTTTTTTACATGGCAATAACATTATATAAATTCCCAGAACTGAATGAAGTCAAATTAAGTGGCATAAAAATCATTTTTTGTTGTTGCAGTCGTTGGTGACTGGACTGAGTCCTATCCGCTCGTTACACTGGAGAATCTGTGATGAATCCTGGCTTGGTCATGGAATTTAACCCAGGATTCCAATGGTGCCAGCTTAGTGCTCTGACATAGTATTAGCCTCCTAAGCCACCCGCACACCTCATAATTATCTGCGTGAATCTGCATTCATTCTTTATTTATTCCACAACATTGACATAACACGTTGATCACTGTTTTATGCAATACAGACTGCCCACATGCGGGTTCAGTTCAACGCTAGGGAACAGCAAGCCTGCCATGGTCGTGGGTCTCGTGATTTCTATTTGGAAATCGCTACGATGAAGTGGCTTGGGTGATTCAGGGGGACAATGTAATGTCCGTGTCACAGCACCGAACCAGCATTGAAGTGATGCTGCATTAGAATCCACAGATCATACCGGCTACTGCACATGGGTCTCGTGTGCAGATAATCTCCACGCAGTAGCAAATCGCTGTGAAAAATCAACCACTGCACAGAGGAGGAAAAAAACCACCCACTGCTTCAGATGACTATAAAATTAGGTTCGATTGAAACATAAGTTGCTTCTCTGTATCTCTCCACGAATGCAATATGTATATTTCAGTGTGTTGGCCCACT